AACAACAGTTTAAATAAAAGTTGTCAAACAAGATTATTAACTCTTATTATGAGAAATAATCTGTACAACTAGTCAACGCAGCAATGCAAGCATAGTGCCATTGTCGAGAGCAACAATAACAGAGAGCAGCAACGCGAATAAGCAGAACAACTGCTATGGCAAGAGCAACAGACACAACTGTGCTTAAACATATACACCTGTAGATATTTGATACATCTAATACTATTTAAAATCACGTCATAGTAGAGGAACACTAAGGTTTTGTATTTAGTGGGGTGTCACTATGAGATCCCGCTCCACCTAAAAATTTAGTTAGGGCCGCCACTGCTGGGGCTTTATAACCACTTACCACTGGGTGGGGTTGTAGTAGTTATTGTAGGCAAGCTATACATTGACATACCAATTATAAGTAAAAACTAAAAGTTTGTTTGATCATCTTTACGAATATTACAACTGTTATATTCTTTAGTCTGCACTGTTAAAACAATTGCTAGTTAAATTGACAGTGAAAAAACTTTTATTAAGACTTACCAAGGTTAAGACTGGGGTATGCTTCTTTTGGTCCGAGGATATATAAAATGATCTTCGAAGTGCCGATTACAAATCCGGTAATTATGATAAATATGAAGATCGGTTTTATTTATCAAATATTTTCCAGCTATCCTCGTCCATAGCCGCAACCTTCAAAGTGACGGATACTTCGGTATAGGAAATTTGTGTAATATATCCGAAATGATAAAATATAATCATTAATTTCGAGGCGAGAGACGGAAACTGAAACAGGAGATAGGCTTGGCAGAATAACCCGCCTGCCAAGCGTGGCAGTAATGGCAAATAGTACCTACGAGGCAATGCGTGGGCAGCCTATGTATAGTGGACTTATGATGATTACAGCCCATGCCTTGAACTTTCAATTTCTTACATATTAGCTGTTTACAAGTGAATAAAAACCGGAAACTATGCGAATATTACAAAAGTACTTACCAAAGTCACATTTAAAAACACATTCCTTTCGTTTTTAAGCAGATTCGTTTTTAATACAAAAGAACTGAAGTAGATCACAAACTTATTAAAATAAAACACATAAATGCACGAGAAATCGGAATAATATCAAATGGATATTGATATTAATTTAAGCCTTACTACCAGTAACCGCCATTAACTGCGTAGTGCACCGCGCATAGAACATGGATGGCTTCCTATATAGACCTAATATATATACGTGCCCTCTAGTTCGAATAAAAGTAAGTCTAGTTTACGTGTCCACACGAAAGATGGCAGCACAAAAAGATATCAATTTGTTCTCAAAATAATGTTCTAAGTTGCATGCCCATGCAGCGCACACTGTTCTCTGCCGGCTGCGCACCTGCCACTATGACATCCTCCCCGCTCCCACCCGTTATCGACCAAATACTCATCGAATTTAAATTTGCGAAAAAGTGTTTATTTATAGGTGCAGTTTACATTTCGCCAAAACAATGCCATGACGTTTATCTTAGTTACTTAAATATTTTACAAAATAAGTTGCTTGACGTGGATACTAGTGTAACAGATTATTTTATTGTTGGAGACTTTAATTTACCTGACTTAGTTTGGATGAATAATAATTCCTATGGGCAATATCCTTGTATCAGCGATATTAACCAATCTCACATGCAAATAAATAATTTTATGGCGGTATTAAATTGCTCTCAAATAAACTCCTTAAGAAATGACAAAGGCCGTATTTTGGATCTTTTTTTCACTAATAAAACAGACTGTGAGTTGTCATCGATATCAAATGCATTAGTTCCTGCGGATAAACATCACCCACCTTTTTGTGTATCGGTTGCGTATGATGCAAATCATGGATACATCCGGCTTAAACCATATCTCAACTACTGTTACAGAAACGCGGACTATAATGAAATTATGCAAAAATTATTGAATATTGATTGGGATTTCTTATTTTTAAATAAAAGTGATAAGGAAGCGGTTTCATTATTTTATGAAAAAATTTACAGTATTATTAATTTACATGTACCTTAAAAGTATATAAGGGCTTCTTCGCATCCTGCCTGGTTTACTCCTGAATTAATAAATATATTCAAGAAAAAAAAATCGAATTTGGGTTAAAATGAAAAAATATAACAACAATTCAAATTATAATATATTCTCAATATATAGAAAAAAGTTTAAAACAGTATCAGAAAAATGCTACAAAACTTACATGGCGAAGGTTGAAAATAGCATAAAATATAACATTAAATACTTTTGGAAATTCATATCTCAATGCCGTAACATTTCAGAGATCCCAAGTAGTGTACAATATAGAGGTTCTATTGCTCATAGTCCAAAAGAGTCCTGTGATCTATTTAGCAAATTCTTTCAATCTGTGTTTCAACGATCATCTGTACCACATGATTTCGATATTGATGATATTTGCATACCATTTGAAAATACATCTGACTTTACTATTTATAACATCAAAGTGACTAGATCTCAGGTACGTAAAGCCCTGCAAATGTTAGATGTATCGAAGGGCGCTGGGATGGATAACATACCAGGTGTTTTCTTCAAGGTAACTGCATCTGTAATCGATCTTCCTTTGTGCTATCTTTACAATAAATGCTTATCTGATGGAACATTTCCTGCTATTTGGAAAAGTGCAAGAATAGTCCCAGTTTTCAAAGATGGATCAAAAAGTGACGTTATGAATTATTGAAAAGAAACCAGAACAAAAACAGGAGGTCGAGGAGTCGTTACTTGATCCGGCTGGTTCAGCAGCGGATACCCTAATCTCCTATGACACCTACGTTGGGTTCGCGAACAACGTATGTGGACCCCGCAACGGAGTAACACACAAGGGCGTCGACCTCTTCCTTTTCTTCAAATAGGTTCAGGCGGGGATTACGGGTCTTCCGAAGTCGTTCCGGTCCCAACGCCTTAATTCTTCAATATGTGCCGCAACAGCGACACAGCGGACTGTATTAATTTGGAAAGGAATGATTCCTTGGGAATAAAACAGCAATTATCTTCCTAACCGTTCCGTGAGAGAGTAATCACTTTTCCCTATCACTTCCCTATACTTTTTCTTTCTTCTTCATATTGTATACTGCTGGTCCCGAACGATTTGTAAGAAAACCAGTTTACTGAGCTACCCCGGAGCTATACGCGAAAGAGAACCGCGCTATCTGCGCGATTACGCTACTCAATTACATCAATTTGTACTATCACTCTCTCACGGTTTGCCCAATATCTTTATTTGTATAAGACATACATTTATACATTTTATTTATAAAGATAGCACACAAAAATATCTATACTATGATATACATTACATTTTCATATCACGAAAAACCTTTTATTTATTCAACAAAATATGCCTATTTTACTCACATGTACTAAGTTAGAATTTCTTAAATATCTAACATATAAGGTTGAAACAATGTTCTTCACTTGAAATTATAAACATCTAAACTAATACAATAGTTTAATTTACATTTTTCCAATACATTTCACTATTAAAACACTTTTAATTTTCTTACACAAAACTATCAATATTTCACTAATCCAAAGGAATTTTCACATGAAAATAAGACAGAATTCACTTATTTTGCTCATACTTCTTCTCAGTCGATACGCTCTTGACAGAGCGGTCGTGGTCGTCACTTGGGTGTTGTGGCACGCTTTACAATACGCCTCCACTCCTCCCTAACAGCTGCCTTTCTTGTGCACTCATGCAACGTGACATCCACCGCAGCCCTCACCTGGTCTGTCCATCTCATAGGCGATCTGCCACGCGCTCTAGTGCCCTCTACTCTTCCTTGAACCACTAGACGTTCAATCGAGATATCATTACGTCTAGACACGTGACCAAAGAAAGTGAGTATGCGAGCTTGCACAATAGATGACAGACGTTGCTTGATGCGGAGTTCTTCGACAATGGACTTATTGGTCCGGAATTCGGTCCAGAACACTCTCAGCATTCTTCTCCAGCACCACATCTCGAGAGCGTCTATTCTCTTCTTCTCATTTTCTCGCAGGGTCCATGTTTCCGAAGCGTAGAGGAATATGGGGAACACAAGCGCTCTAACTAACCGGGTCTTAGTGGCTTTTGTTATGTTACGGTTCCTCCATATCTTCCGCAACTTATCCATGGCTGTCCTAGATATCGCCATACGTCGTTTTATTTCATCTATGCAGCCCCCGTTGCTCGAAATTAGCGCTCCTAAATAAATGTATGATTGGACTACTTGACAGTTCGCGATTTGTGTCACTTCCGGCGAGTTATTGTTGATGCGATCGACAATCATAACTTTAGTTTTGCTGCGATTGATCCGAAGGCCGAGTTCAAGACTGACGTTTTCCATCCTTTGTAGGAGTTCTTCCATATGGCCGATACTAGTCGCAAATAGGGTAGTGTCATCCGCGTATCGTAAGTTCGAGATTTTCAGCCCTACAATTGAGATTCCATCAGTCCAGTTCTCGAGAGTGCGTCTCATTATTAGCTCTGTGTAGATGTTAAATAGAAGTGGGGAGATTATACATCCTTGACGAACGCCAGCACTAGGATGAAAGTGATCTGACAGCTTGTCGTCTGTTCTTACGGATGCAGTACCACCTTCGTAAAGACACCTGAGCAGATGTACCAGATGTTTTGGTGTGCCCATTCTCAGCAGGGTGTCCCAAAGTTTAGGCCACTTGACGGAATCAAATGCCTTGGAAAAATCCACAAAGCAGATGTATGTTGCCTTATTGTACTCGCGGGATTTCTCAATAATTTGTCGCACGATAAGTATTTGCTCCCTGGTACCCCTCCCTCTAACAAAGCCAGCTTGCTCTTGAGCAATCTCCTTGAACAGGTAGGATTTCAGGCGCTCGTTTAAAATGTGCAGCAAAATTTTACTTGCATGAGGAATTAGCGCAATAAGGCGATAGTTGCTACACATTTTCGTAGAACCCTTCTTGTGAAGTGGAATAAAGACACTATGAGCCCATTCTTTCGGCCACGCACCTGTCTACCACACCTTGTTACACAATGCATGAAAAATTTGGACGCCATATTCTTTTGAGGCTTTGATTGTTTCAATGGGAATCGAATCCTTGCCTGTAGCTTTTCCAGTTTTCAGATGTTTTATGGCCGCTCTGATTTCGTCCTTCAGAATGTTTGGCTCTTTTTCTTCGTCCATGGGTTCTGTCGAGGCAAAATACTGTGATTCCACGTCCTCAAACAGTGATTGACAGTATTCCTTCCAAGTTTCCGATATTGCTTCTATCTCTGTCACTGTTTGACCATGAGAGTTCTCTATAGCCCATGTTTTGGTACAGAGAGATCGGGTCATCGATCGAATTTTTTGATGAAGGTCCCTAGATTCATATTTATTTGCATGGATTTCAACTTCTGCACATATATTCTGAAAATGGGCGTTAAGGTCTCGCCTACATGCTGTCTGTATGTTTGCAGACTTTTCATTTAATGTCCTCACATCTGTTCCCGTAGCCTTCATCTCTCGTCTTTCCTTTACAAGAGCCAGAGTGCTGTCACTCATCCAGTGTTGCCTTTTACGAGTACCTGAGGTTGGAGCTATTTGCTTGACAGCGCAACTAATAAGGTTCTTTGCGCAATCCCACATTTTATCTGGACATTCGGTCTTAGAGTTCACAATTGTCCACTGATTCCAGTTTTCCTCTAATGCGGCTAAAAATTTTGATCTATCCCTTACTTCGAGCCTCCGCTGTTGAACAATTTTTCGGGCCGCTCTTAGCTTAAGCTGAATTTTGGCCATCAGCAGTTGGTGATCTGAACCACAGTCGGCTCCTGGTAAAGTGTGGGTGTTCCTGATGGATGTCTTCCACCGTGATCTAACCAATACATAGTCAATTTGGTTACGATAATTGCCGTCAGGTGATATCCAAGTGTAAAGTCTCCGAGAATGGTTTTGGAAGAAAGTATTTGATATAACGAGGTTGTTTTCTGCTGCAAATTGAATTAGTCGTTCCCCTCTTTCGTTACGCTGCCCCAGTCCATACTTTCCCAAACAAGAACTTAGTAGATGGGAATCGGAACCGACCTTAGAGTTAAAGTCTCCTATAATGATAAGCAACTCTCTTTGTGGAATCTTAGATATTGTAGTCTCCAGCTTCAAGTAGAACGATTCGACATCCTCATTACATGCGGCACTGGTTGGTGCATAAACCTGTATGATGTTAAAGTTTGCTGGCGATGCCCTTAGTTTGATACTTATTATTCTATCACTAACAGGTTCATACCCCAATACGCAGTTCCTTGAACTTTTTGGAACAATGAAAGCGACCCCGTTTCTGCTGTTATCGTCATTCCCAGAGAAGTAAACGACGTTTGTCTCAGTGAGAAAGTGACCGTTACCCTTCCAGTGTGCATATTGCATCGGCAGAGCTCATCTTCCAGAATTTTCATCTTTCCTGGCTGGAGTAGACCACGCACATTCCAAGTTCCTATCTTTTGGGTCTGACGCATCTTCACAGAAGTTCCAGTAGTATGATTTCCGTGGGGTGCCTGGTTTCCTACACCCGCATGGCCGGTAGCCAATTTCTCACCATCTGTCCCGGACACATGATGGCGCCGGTTGCTAAGCGGATCGCATGGCCACTTCGTTTTCATATTATTTCTACCTTTCATGACGACTTTCTTGGGAAAAATAGTGCAGTGGTTTCCCCTTGCCTTCTGCACCAGACATTTTAGGAGTACTGTGAAACTCCAAGGCCGCTGTAACCTCTTCTACCCGGTTGCCCGGATGGGTGTGTAATGGATATACCGCCATTGGTCGGTCGCCAGAACCTCGTCCGTTGTCTAGCAGGGGGCACCACGAGCAGGTGAGGTTGACAATTGGGGCCGATTAGATGTTATTGTCGTTCTCCCCCTTACCCCCCTTTGCTCATACAGTCAATCTGAAATGTTTTACAAGTCAATTTTACATAAATTGCTGAAATTTGCAAATATTTAAATTTCTACTCATTTTGACCTCCTAAGTACAAGGTTAACGCGCGACTATAAACTCACGCTATTTGAACAACTAATTCTCACACGACTTCCGATTGTCGGTAAAAATGGCAAATTTAGCATACACTAATATCAATCAATACTAGGTGAACAACTGATTCTACACAACTCTCAAATGTTGGAAATTGTTTCCTACCAGATTCTTATCAGATATCATATCTCTTATCAGATAACATAAGCAAAATATTTCATGAATCAATCATGGAAAATAGAAATTTTGTTTTCATACAAAACGTATCAAACTCATATAAGACAATTCTTATGCAATTAATTTCCATTAATTCTACTTATACACAAAGTGATCATTTCGACTGGGGAACAAATCCTGGTCTCTAACTTTATTTTAATATTCCTTTAAATTAACATTATTGGAAAGGTGATTTCAACCGGGGAACAAATCCGGAAATATAATTTATATCTTAAAAATTCCCTATATGAATTTATTAAGAAAATATTACTAAGAAAACGACAAACTAGTCCGGCCTGGGAATCGAACCCAAGACCTTCAAATTATTAATTCGATATTTCTTTAAAATTCAACTAAGTGTTTTCTTATCAGAATATTATTGCTCGATAATTTGCTTTTTAGAAGCTGTTCGTAATCGGTTAACTAATAAATTGAAATATTCTTATAGACGCGTCGCCAACAATTATAGACCAATATCAATACTGCCCATTCTTTTCAAAGTTTTTGAGCGTTTGGTGCATGATACTATTTACCCCCTATTGCATAATGTTATCTTAGATGAACAACACGGTTTTGTTAAACGGCGATCTACTATAACTAATCTTATCACTTACACATCAGATTTGTTTAGTGTGCTTGACACCAATACACAAACTGACAGTATTTATACTGATTTCCGGAAAGCATTTCACACTGTTGATCATAATGTCTCTAATAGAACGCAGAGGGTTGTAATTAAAGGTTTGGAGACGGATGTTACAAATGTCACTTCTGGCGTCCTACAGGGCTCCATTTTGGGTTCTCTCTTGTTTATGATCTTCATAAATGATGTTAAAAATTGCTTTAAAAATAGTCGGTTCCTTTTATATGCTGATGATCTCAAAATATACCAATGCATCGATAGGATAGAGGATCACTATTTGCTTCAAGAAGACCTTGATAGATTTCACAATTACTGTGCTCTTAATAATTTAAGACTCAATTTAAATAAATGTAAAGTAATCACTTTCACAAAAAAACGGAATATAAGCTACTTTAACTATTCTCTTAACGGTACAGATATTGTAAGGGTGAATAATATAAGGGATTTGGGAGTGACTTTTGATAACAAATTACATTTTGATATTCATATACAAAACATAATTAGTAAAGCTTTTAAAATGTACGGACTTGTTATGCGTTCTTCCACTGTATTTAGAAACCCCATCACTTTAATCTATCTTTTTAAATCTTTGGTCACGCCACAATTGGAGGACGGAGTGCCTGTATGGAACCCACTTTATAATAAATATAATCATAGCATTGAAATGGTACAAAAAAAGTTCTTGCGTCGCATTAATTATAAATATCACCGTGAGCGTTTATCGTATGTGCTCCTTTTAACAAAATATTAGCTTAGACTTAAGGTCTAGGCGTACTCAACTTGAGGCAAGATTACTTTATGATCTGTGCAATAACAAGTATTATTGCGCAGATATAACTGAGCAGTTCTCAAAAATTTTGTACGGCAAATATTTTTTTCGATTTTCAAAAATGTGTTTGTTTTAAATGATTTTATTGAAGAATTTGCTAAAAGTAATATAACATTTGAATAATTTAATGTTTGTTACCAATAAATATATACCATTTAGGAATAAAACAGGTTTATTTCCGAGCATGGCATTACCGTGTTCAATTTTGTTACTAAACAAAATTCGTTTAATTAAATGTAGTTCTTTGTTTATTCCGTGTTAAATATTTTATATGATTACATATGAAGGCATTTAAACCCCCAAAAAAAATTTTACTTGTAAATGTTTGCTAATTTTTAAATTACAATACAAACATTTTCAACTGTGTTACTTAGGACGAAAACCAAACAATTTTTTTCTATGTATTTTAAAATAAAAATAAAATGTAAATATTGTTTGATGATATAAAATTACAATTTTTCGGCAAGTATTAATAAATAAACATAATTAGTTAAAGTCCAAAACTAAAAATTTTATCAGTAAAAAACCTTCGTTATTTTTATGGACAGTAACAAAATTGATTATGATTGGTAACCAAGAAATTATTAAGGCCCATTTACATTGTTAGGAATACTGGTATAATTGGATTTAGTTTAATAAACGGAAAATTTTAAATAAGCAACCCTTTATTTTAAAATTTATGATGTAACGTACGGGAAATAGACTTAATTTCTAGAAATTGGTAGATTTCCCTAAATAAAAGAAAACTCTGTCGTTTGTTCCATCTACATTCTCATCAAAATGCAAGGATTTAGTAATATAAATGATATAGAAGTTGATATTTCAAAAAAGTCATTTCTAAAAATGCTAAATCTATGCGATTGCATGTCCATTTCAAATCTTTATAAATTTGTTGTAATAATGCTTCTAAGGCTTAGTTTATTTATTTAAGGTTTAATAACCAGAGATATTTCTATTATTCTAGTTCTTTTTTTTATTTTAGAATCATTTTCAGTTTAATACTGTACAATCTTTTATTTAGTGCTCCGTAAGATTTACATTTTGTTGAATTTTTTTTCGTTTTCTTTAAGTAATTTTTGTAGTTTATGTAACATTTTGCTGTAATATTTCAATTTCTTGTCGTGCTCTCTTCTTTATCTTTTTTATTTTCTTGATTCTTTGCCGATTCTGTCTCTTACAATGAATGATTGACGTTTTACGATTTTTGTTGATTTTGATTTTCGTCATTTAGCTCAGATTTTTTTACGTTTAACCTTCATCCTTTCTAAATGTTTACGTCTTGATTCTTCTAACTTTTCTGGTTTATTCTGGCTTATTTCGATAGCGTTTCATTTCTTCCGTGGCAGTTAGCGCTGCCATTTTGTACGATAACCTTAAAATTAATATCATTTATTTGAGATTTCATTCAGCACAATAACATCTTCATAAAAACTGTTTAAATAAACAAAAACATCAAACACCAAAAACAAATCTTCGCTTTTGAAAGTTAGGGAGAAGAGGTATTACTTCGTTAAAGTTTGTGTTTCGTTTATTTTAACATTTAGCAAAATTTTTGCTCAATCGGATACGAACATTGAAAAATGGTTTGCAAGTTTTGACGGACATATTTTTACTTACATACGAACAGTGCAAGTTAAATAAAAGCAAAAACATACATGGTCGATTTGTGTGGTGTTTTTTTTTTTGGAAGTCTGTTTAAAATAAATCATGGCTAAAAACTATGTATGGCATCGCCAACATGAAATTCGTTCTGGATTTCAATTAAATATATATTCAGCAGATTATACGAGAGCGAAAAACAAATACTTACCTATCGTTAAACATATATTTCATATTCTAATATTTTCTATTCGTTGACAGTAGGCTAATGTATTCGTCCCTTAATGATATCAATTGTGTTACCAATGAGATCAACATATACGTTACCTACTCAAAAGTAACAAAATTGAGGTAACAAAATTTGAGGTTATGGGATTCTTTACCGCCTAATAATATTATTTTATTAGCTAACGTTGTAAAAAATAGTGAAAACAAGAGTGAATGCACATAGAAATCATTGGAAAAATGTTCTTTTTAATAAAGTATGTACTTACCGTTTAAAGTCCAGTAACAAGTTTGAGTTTATTCGGTACCCACGACACTCGTGCACGGATTGTTTGACACAGAATACATGTCAGTCTACCAATTTAAGATGAAAGGACTTCGACATGGAGAAAAATGTTTACACAGCACTAAAAACATCCAAAAAATTAGTAATTTTTACAAAATATGTGAAATATCATGGTAACAATGTTGATAATCAAAATTGAGTTAAATTTAGGACAACAAATAAATTGAAAACATTAATAAATTAATTAAGTAAATACATGTACAAAGGTATCATTGTGTAAATAAATAGTGATGTGATTAATGGAAATGGAAGGATGTACTCCTAAAGTTTTAGGTTTTGGTAAAATCAATTTTCAAATCATGTGATAGGGGATAGGACAATCTACAATCCGTACAAAAAAATAAACAGGTTTCAGAAAATGAATATTTTATTATTTTTAAACGCTTCTGGTAGTATTTTATTTATGATTAATTATATCTATAGATATGGCTTTAAAAGATTTAAAAAATCTGATAAATATGGTGTCTTATATAGTCACAAAATAAACACGAACTTAAAGGACATCTTTTTTTTTTATATAGAAGAGGGGGCAAACGAGC